CCGCCTCCTTCCCCGTCCTAACTTATATAGCCCCTGTGACCTCATTCACCTGGGCCAGCGGAGGTCAGCCCCAGTTGGCTGTCAGCCAACCAATCTGAAATGCATCACCTGTTACCGGGCAGATTCCAGCTCCCCAGGTAGAAACCCCTCACCCAGGTAAGTGATGCAAGTCACGTAAGCAGAGGGAGCAGGTTCCCCCCTCCCTCAGGAATGCAGCCAGCTCCAGTTCCCTAAAGAGACAGGCTGAGGGTGTGGTCCCCTGTGTGCTGGGCCCACCCTGATTGAATGGTCACAGCACAGAGATTTAAATCACAGTGTCACAGGGCAGAGATTTTTGGGGAGAAACCAAGGTGGCTTTCTGCCACATCCCCTGCTTTCAGATATATGTTCTAGAGATGAAAGACCACGTACCTTAATTTCTAATCCCCCTGAGACACCCAATCTCCCTGCCAAGGCTTCTGTGTCTTTATCATGTTACTCTGTCATGGATACATGACACCAGAGCAAACTCACGTTCTAGAGACAATCAGGGTTGATATTCTTTTCATAATATCAAGTCAAATGCCCTACATCTAAGTGCAAATTACCTGATTACAATCTGCCCATTTAGAGGCAGCAGTGTCTGTTGAGTTCTTTTGCACTGGCCAGACTCACTTACCGACCAACATTTGCTTTCCTGGCACTTGTCATTAGAAAAAATGCAAGTGCTCTGGGGAAAAGCATATCCAAGGAGGTGGGAGTGTCTGGTCCGTATTTGTGGAATTCCTGAATGTTATCAGCAGAAAGATTAAACAGTGCTTTGACTTTCCTTTCAAATGGCCTGTACCGGAAATGCCAAGGTCAGGTCTTCTCTGTAGCCAGAAAAAAACAAGCAGGTATTTGTTCACCTTCCCGCTGGGAAATTTGCAGCACCTGTCATTTGGCTAGAGGGGGAGAACATGAAGGAAGATGAAAGAGTTGCTGAGAGGAAAGGGAGTTCGGTGTAAGAGGAAGCCATGAGGTAAGGAAAGAGGAAAAGAGCTCTGGGTTGTTTATGGAGCAACAACATTGCAAAACTGAGAGCCCCAGATGAATCCACCAAGATAAGTGAGGCCTTGATCTGCTTTGCTCACCCTGATGTGAATCAGTCGGGAGTCTCCACTCACCCCCTGGGGATCAGGCTCTTCCTCACACCTAGACTCACTCCTCCCCGCTGGAAAGCCCTGAAATGGTCAGTAACTCCAGGCCCCACTGAAGTAAATGGGACCCAAAGGAGCTCAGCGCCTCTGAAAGTCAGGTCCTTAATGCCTAAGACGTGCTTGATAGGGAAACAGCCTGGTCCTCAGACGCTGTAACCACTCCTTTCTCTTGTATGGCTGTCTCTGTAGTGCGGCCACCTCAGTGTTTGGGTTCATGCTGGTAGTTTGAAAGACGCCATCCTGTAGTCGAAGCAGATGTACTGAGGTAAATTGGACTCTCTTGGATTTAAGCCAACAAATATTGGCCTGAATGAGATCCAAGATTTAGATCTGATTTTCCTCGCCGCTAGCTGGACCCCTGAGCCCATGTGCAGACAGGGCCCATTTCTGCTCCAGGCCTTAATACATAATCTGTGCTATCACACAGCACGAGCCGTAGCATTTCTCTGAGGGCCCACTGAGTCCCTGCCATAGGGACGCAGCCTTATGCGGTAGCTATTTGAGCGGCTTACGCAGACTACATGCTCTTTTCATTTTCTTGGCTTTGGTGCGAGACCATGATAAACTCCTCATGCCTCCTGCCTCTGCCAGCCTTTGAAAGGACTGAGATAGCTTGGGAATCAATTAAAGACCACATCTGAATCTCCTGTCATAAGCGGGTCAGCTACACCGCTGCGGGGCAAGGGAAAACAGGAGACCTAGCAGTGAGGGAACAGGGTGGAAGAAGAGGAGCGTGAGGATCAGGGGTAGAAAACTAGGAGGAGCGGGGCACAGGGAACACAAGATCAGGAACCCAAGTCCCCCAGGCCCGGTCCAGCGCATCCAGGTAAAAGGCAAGACAGGGCCTTAATCCTCTAGAAAGTCGGTGACAGCTGTTTGGGGCCCACAGACCCACTGGACTCACTGGGATTGTGAGAAAGAACAGAAAGGAGCGTCTTCCCGGAGGGGATTGATTTGCACCCAGAATACTGGTGCCTGAGAGGGATGATCCCACATAGGCTAGTGTCTGCCTCTCAAGTGTTTACAAAGACCCCATTTGCCCCGATTCCTGCCCCAGCATCCTTCATCAGGAGAGAGCCCAAGCGTTCAACCGGATTCATTTTCTGTCCTTGGCTCTGAATGTTTTTTGTGCACATGCCCAGTAAATGGGGGCTGGGGTCAATGGTTTCTAGCTATTAACCCAAATGAAAGACCCCGAGAGCCAAACACTAACTTGGACGGTGAAGCACCTAATGTACTCAGTGCCTCCAGCAGCACTCCCTTTCTCCTTGTGGAAAAGTGGGAGGGGACAGTCTTTCCCAGGACCCTGCTCTGCTTCATGAAACAGTGGGCTGTTAGAGTCAGAGATGTGGCCTGATGCCATGGTATAATTAGCATAGGCATTAATTCAGCCTGTCTGCACTTCCCTGGGCACTAGTCTCTCTAGTCTAAGTGGGAGCCAGGATGTGGGATGTCTTCCTGAGGGGTTGGGAGCCAGGAATCCAGAGGCTGGGGCAGGAATCGGAGAATGGGACAGGTGTAGAGGGCAAGATAAATACAGGGACCCCAGAAGGAGCTGAAGTCCCAGCAGTACAGCCTGGAGCTGGGGGGCAGAGCAGGGCAGGGTAAGAAAGAAGAGAGGAGCCAGGAGGTAAGAGACTAGGGAGGAACGGCAAACTGTAGAGCAGGGGTGGCCAGCCTGCGACACTTGTTCCACAACCGGCACTGGCAGCCACTGTGGGAGGCATGTGGCGGGACGGAAGGGGGCAGGGAGTACAGAGCAGCAGATCAGGCAGGGGAAGGGGAACAGAGTAGCACTCAGGGGGGTGAGGGGCTAATTTGTGCCAAAAAGTTTGGTGGTGCAGAGCACAGAGCCAAACAGGTAAGATGCTGGGCTCACTTCCTGAGGCCTGGCCTTACAGTGCCAAGCAGGTCAGCAGGTACAGCTGGTCCCTCTCTGATCTGGGCGCATCTACACTGCACTGTCATTTAGTACTTGCTTTAGCGACATAATGTCTTGCGCAGGTGCACCCAGCGGGGCTCTTCTTACTGGCAGGCTTGGCACAAGCCTTTCACCCTAGCAGGGCCTGTTACCGCAGAAAACAGAAGCTAGTTTTCCCTCGCCCGTGGAGCCTGCATTGGCTACCAGCTGGGAGAAATGTTCTGTCGCCCACGTCTGGTGACTCCTGGGGATATACTAGACACTGGGGAGGACAAGGCTTGTCTTGTGCCAGATGCCTGGCAGGCTCTTCCCAGTCCTGTTCCTCTCTTTGGGACCTATGTGGTCCACCCCTGAGCGTTCAAAGCATTTTACAGCATGTGCTGACCCGGCCCCTGGTGTATGGCTCTGTTTGTGCCTGCTTCCATGTTGCTTGTTCACACGTTTCTGGATCCTTTCCTCCTTCAGTGAGGACCCCCTGGTCCCAGCCACTCCACCTGCTCAATGTTTGGAGGGGGCTGAAATTCTCTTCCCTGCACCACTACCATCATTATTGTGTGCTTGAGATTTACTGGCTGGGAGCCACCTGGCGAGTGCTGGCCACCACCTCCAGAACGATGCCTCAGTATCAGACTTCGGGAAATCAGGCTCACCTGGCTGGGTTTTCATCCTAGGTAGTTCTTAGCAGGGTCGTAGAAGGTAGGAGGGCAAAACCCAAGTCCATTGGTCCCTGTCTTCACTACAACTGATGCTGTTGCTACCGCTGGTAGAAATTAGAGGTTCCACTTTTGCTACAAACTCAGGTTAATTTAGCACAAGACGTGGAATTGCCCGTCTGCGGGGAGCGATCCATTTCTGTCCCTTACCAGGACTCTCAAACATAATTTCCTAATGAAGAGCACTGGTTATTGCTGCTCTGTTCCCAGCTCATCCACACCGACAAACAATCATCGTGGCAAAGCATTAAACACAGCAGCCTGGTGTAGAGAATAGCCAGTGCTGAGATGAATGAAACGAGGGCCAGGAGGTGAGGCTCCAGGGAAGGTGGTACTGCGAACACAGCAGGGTTTAATTGCCTGCTCTTTGGTGTCTCTCCTTGATTTAATTTTCTTGTTTCTCAGACCTAAGCCTTCCCCAGGGTCCTGCATTCATCCTACTCGTGACTCCAGGGAACAGTCTCTTTCTCAGACCACAGGGGATGGTCTCCGTTTCCATGTGCTTTGTCTACTTGCTTCTAGAACCATGCCTGAGTTCCTGTCTCCCTGCACATCTGTCTGCTCACACTGGTTCTGGGCCTCACTGCTTTCTCTTTGCTTCTAGCACTTCCTTTGTGATGACAATGACACCTCCATCTGAAGAGCTGCGTCCCAAGTATTCACATACACACCCGGCAATATCTGCTGCGGTAGGGGACCGTTCATTCTATGCAGGTTTTTCCAGGCTTTTGGCAGTGGTGGTCTTAGGGTTGTTGGGGCCCTGGGCAAGAGAGTCACTTGGGGATTAATTTTGAAGACCTATAAGCAATTTGGACATTTTCGATTTCAATTGTACTTTGCCCTATCCGTGAAACTGCAATGAAAGTATCTTAATACAATAGTGATAATACAAATATGCACTGTAATTAATTTTTATTACAACTGGAGTGGAGAATATCACACAATACATTTAATCAACACAACACTCTGACCGCAAGTCATAACAAATCTATTTTATTGAGAGACATATTATGAACAGAGGACAGATTTTCGCACCAAAATAAACTGGAGTCAATGGTCAATTCATTGCTCCTACACCCCAGTTGATAATCAGTATTCATAAGTTGAAGAAAGAACAAAGTTTTTAATAAGTTGAAGAAAGAAAGGGTTTGTTGATGTTGAGCTATATTCTAAGTTCATTCTATGTTTAAAATTTTGGGGCCCCCTAAAGTGTGGGGCCCTGGCCAGTCGCCCGGTTTGCCCTCCCCTAAGGCCGCTACTGCTTTTGGGGCCAGGGAAATGCAGGGCGTCAAAAAGCCTTACTACCTGTTGGGCATTATGTTAGTGACAGACACAAGGTAACTACATTTTTCTTCTGTGTTACCTGGCAGGGGAAGAAGTATCATTTCCATGTAGAGCATTAAGAGTACAGAAAATTCAAGTATGTTGTTTCTCCGGGGACTGACGCATCTATGCTCTCTCTCAACTCAAGCACAAGCACAGAAGTTCGGAGCGGCAGAAGCCTGCTGCATCCTGCAGCATGTCTCCCTGCTAATGCTGTCCCTCTCCTCCCTAAAGGGATCCTCTACAAGGAAAGGTGGCATTTGGGATGCTTAGTGAGTGCTTGGTGCTGCGTAGCCTGAGAGGAAGTCTGTTGGCTCCAAGGACCTCCATGCCAAGGGCCTGCCCCAGCTCAGTGGGAGTTTTACAAACATCTTTAGTGGGAGCACGAGTGGGGCTTCCACACGTCAGTGTGCACCTGCACGCCCACGATGCAGGCACCAAAAAGCCAACCTTGGAGCAAATGTTGTTCTGGTTCTTTCCTTTTTGAAACACAATGGAATGCCTGGACATTGACTCTGCTTTTCTATTGGCTGGTGTCACTGTTGCCTGGGTGACTGCTATGTGCAAACACTCTTTTAGGGAACTCTGTGAGGTAGCAGCTTAACGAGCCCTGGGAATCTGCAGCCTGAGGGAGAGAGCAGCTCCCGGCACTGAGGAAAGAACTCGAGTGCACTGAGACAGGTAGGACAGCCCCTGTGTGAATGCAGTGCCCAACAAACTGCACAGCACTTCACTGAAAGCTGCAACCTTTACAAATGCCCAGACAGAATCCGGACATGGAGCTGTCATACGAGACAGTGGCTCGTAGATATGGAAGTTGGTATCTGATGCTATACAAGAGAGAGACCGGTAGGCATGAGAACTCTGGCACCCTTTCAGCCAGGGACCTGACACAGACATGGCACAGCTGATACCACTTGCTGGGAATGACCCAGCCCTCCCTCCCTGCCAGCCAAACCTTCCAAATTGCTCTTTGCATATTACAGCAGAAGACAGATTCCCCTTCTCGTCAAATGCAATAAAAGTTAGACATGAGAACAGAAGTGGCTTCCTAATGGTGGCAGGGAGTGTGCGTGTGTGGTGGTGGTGGGGTGTTCTAGGACTAGACCTGGCTGTGTACAGAAAACAAGAGATCAAAGAATAGTGTGGGATTGGCCAATTGTGGCAGCCACTTTCTGGGTCATCTGAAGGTCTGTTATGATGGATGAGGGTTATAACGGGCCCAAATCTATCACAGTCTTGTGTACAAGACCGCTGTTACTGAGTTTGAGTCTTTCTCTTTCTAATGCTCAAGATCATGGACGTGGAAGACGAAGATGAAGCCATCAGAGAGAAAGCACAGAGTTTAATCGAAACTGTCATCAGGGGTGTGAAAGAGCATCTTGAAGCTTTGCAAAAAAAAGAGAGAGGTATTCAAATACTGCATTTGCTGCCTAGGAAACCTTGCCCTGTCTAGGCACATCAGCTAGATTAACCAGCAGGTGGTCTGTTTTCAGAAGCTGATTACGTCATTGGAAACATTCAGTGGATCACATGCAAGGACTTTACGGTGGAGAGGGGAAGGCAGCAGATCGAGGAGTACATATCTGTAAGTGTCAGAGCCAGTTGGTATTTGATTTCATTACTAGGTAGAGAGGCTGACTGCACCCTCAGGGCCTGCTCCCAATAGTTGTCATGTATAATTTATTTCTGAAGCAACTGCTATGGACAACAGAGACACCACAAATGCAGACCCAGGGCCCTTGGTCCATGTGTCTATGAAGCAGTTAATCCTTACAGTTTGTGCATTGGAGGGGTTTCAGCTTCTCAGCTTGACTGTCAGTTGTCACAGCCTAACAGCATACAAGCTTGGAAAACCTGCTTCAGGCTGAAAGTTAGCTCATCTGCAGTCAGTTGTTTCCAGACAGCTCCCAAAGCCCTTCCAGAGCTTCTGAAGGACTTCTTTTCCACCCTCTTCCCAACTTCAGTGCTCTACTCAATGGAACCCTTTCCTCTTGGCTCATGTGCCCTTTCTTCTTCCTCTCCTGGGTGTCCTCCACAAGCTGGTTGCTTCTACCAGCTAATCCCAAAGTCCTGGGGTTGACAGCTTGGGGCTTAGAGATGTGCCCCAAGCTCAGGTGTGAAATCCCACTGTTGCAGCTACTCCACATTATGGACACCAAGTGTACAGCAAGGGTTAGTAGTTTCCTTCAAACTGACTGCACCCAGATTATTTCAGTGTGTACTAGAGAGCACCCACAAAGGGAGGTAGGGCACTGTACATTCACAGCCTACTTCACTGCACACCAGCTTCTGTGGGCAGTCAGACCACTGCTGTGACCAGCAGTTCTCCACATTTTGAGACTTGAGGCCCTACTCAGAATCCATCAGCTCTCAGCTTTCACTCCATTTTAGACTATGGAAAAATACCAGAGCAATCCTGCTGTTGCAAGGAATTCAGAAAGCCCACAACAGGGCTGGGTGGCTTTGACACTATAGATTCTTGTCTGAAATCTCTGGGTGTATCTTGTGAAATCACGTGGGTGCTTGCAAGCTGAGCAGCGCTAATGTTATGCTGAACCCTTAAAAGGATCTTGAGCCCCCACCAAGGTGTTGTGGTGTTCTCTGCTTGAGAACCAATCAAAAAAGGACAAGTCTGCCTGAAGCAAAAGGGCCCACTGAGTTAGTGAGGAAAGGTATGCAACTTTCTGCAGTCAGTGATTCCCCCCAGAAGTGCCGTGGCTAGCATCACAGCCTTGCAGTATTGAAAATGAGCACTGTGCATGTTCTGTAACAGGGGAGGTCCCACCCTCACTCCCTCCCATTCCAGTTCCCTTCTCCTGCCTGATCTGCTGTTTTGCGCTCCCTGCCCCCTCCCCAATTTTCTGCCTCAGAAGTGCTGCAGCACCAAGCCTGTACTTTGATCCACCATCCCTTAGTGTAGACATTGTTCTCTGTGCATGTAATTCTTCCCTGAACCTTGTTACCCTAATTGTCACAGTAACAGGTGGCAGAAGTTGTCAAGGGCACGAGAACATTCTCTCTTCCTCTGGTCCAAGTTGCCCTTTAACTTCCTTGTGCCTTCTCATTCATGATTTGGTTAACAGTGTTAAACAAAAGTGACTTGATCTCTTTTTAGCACTTCCCTTAAGTCAGCTGTCCCAGCAAGAAGGGATCTCTTACAGTGTGGTGTGTGTTCAGCAGACCTGGGAGTTCCATGAAAGCTGGCTTCACTGGTCAGATTTCCTCAAGGAAGAACAACTGAAGTACAGCAAGAGGTACCATTACCGGGTCCGTTGGAGCATCCCGACATGCAGGAAGCCCATCCCTCAAGCAACTGCATGCACCTACTTCATTGTAGAGATCTCCAACATTAAACCTCCTGTAAGTAATACTCAACCAACCTTTCAGAATGTAGCAGTAGAAATCTAATTTCTCTGTGGAATGAAAGAGAGCCATAGTTTAAATGATTACTCTGCAAGAAAATTAGCCTGTGCCATTCTGAACTTCATTACTTCAATGTCCTTTCCAGACAAGATTATGGCTTGACTCTCTCTCTGCTAATGATGTTTTGCTCTCCCTTACCCTCAATCCTAGTGTCTGCTACTGATATCTTCTAATTGATTTTATACTATCCGCCCATACACATTCTTTAACATGAGGGGGAGGGGATAATCACATGGCTACACGTCAAAATAAATAAAGTTTCCAGATATACATTTGACTCTTTTTTTTAACTTCTGCCCTTTTGGTTAGGTCCAATCCAGAGCATTTCCAGTTTCTGAGTTTCACATTCAGTAACACAGTAGCCATGATCTACTCCAATGTCTGACTCTTAGTCTCTATGGATGGTTAGATCTGCAAGCAGACACTTATTCTAATTCCTATCAAATTATGTAACAGTAGATTGCTGTCCTGCTATGCAGAGCATTCCAAAATAGTGGAATTTTTTGGTTGAATTAAATGCCTACTTTGAAATTGTGCTATAGCAAATGTGAAAACTGTCCTTTCATCTATTGCAGACCTTGCCCATTGAGGTGTTCTTTATCTTGGAATCCAATAGGCTGATTCACAGGTATATTTTATTCTACAGGTTTTTTAAGTAATGCAGCTATTTAAGATGTGCTTAAAACACAGCTGATTTCAGATATCCTGACTGCATTAGAAGTGGTATACTGGTGACAGCCACTATCAGGAGTCCATTAGTTTGCTAATTCTGTCTGGCTTGGTCTTAGCTCCAGCACTGGTTGGCTACTCTACATTATACCAGTTGGCAATAGTCCCACCAGGGCCATGCCCTTACTGCCCCTGCTCCTCCCAAGACTGAGTGGTGATGATGGTATAAAGTTATTCTGGTTGACCTGTATCTACCAACTACCCTCCCTGCCCTCCAAAGAGTTTCAGCCCCTTTTTATTCTTCCTGGCATAATGAGAGCAAAGTAGAGCTGAGAACCTGATCTCTGTGCTGTGAGCTGCTGCACTGGAGCACATTGATGTAGCTTCCCCTTATCAGTCTTGATAGGGATTTTAAGAGCAGCATGTTCAGGACAGTGCTTCCTAGGCAGCAGAAAAGGCTGCTGTCAACTAGCACAGCTCCTGAAAAACCCCTGTCTTTCTAACTTAATGAAATTGGGGTAAAATCTTATTAGTCACTTCTAGCCAGCCTAGCTCGTGCTAGCTAGCATTGATAGACTCCATGACATGGCCACCTCCTCCAACCACACAGATTAATGCTGGCTTTATGAAAAGAAAGTTATGTGCTACACCAAGAGAAAAACCAACCTGCATTCAAAGGCCACTCATAGCTCCTGAACTTTGTCTCCACCTAATTGTGACCTTTGTTCTTAACATCTGTCCTACCTTTTCCACCCTAGACCAGGACGGTGTCGCTTTAGGGAGAAGTGGCTCAAGGACATAATTGAAAGCAAAATGAGCCTTGTGGAGAGCATAACCTTCTAAACAAGTGTATACTGCAGATTAAAAAATCCACTCTTCCAGGATGCTCAAGGCTTGGCAGTGTTTTATTAAAGACAGAACAGGCACAGTATGACAGAGTGTGTGTGTGTGAGGGAGGGAGGTGGTGCTGGGGGGGGCGGGGGGTGACAGGATGGACAGGGACCTTTCCTTCTCTAACGGTAGTTTATATCTTACACATGACTAATACATTCATAGGCACAGTGAAAAAGTGTTAACTTCAGGCGAAGCCGACAGTAATTACCTGAAGGCCCTGACCTTCCAACTGTCTCCTCTGCCTGAAAGACCCTTGAACTCACACAGAACTGCCTTGACTTCAGTCACTGAGCTGAGGCCTGCTGACTGGATAGGGAGGAAAACAGCTAGATTCAGTCGAGTGTTTGATTAAACAAGGGTTACAAAGATACCAGTGAAAGTGGTAACAGGATTTTTTGTAGGTGTTTATAGAAACATATAAATTATTTCCACCACAAGCACACCAAACCCAGCGATTTAAAAAAAAGCCTCAGGAAAATGCTTTATTTAAAAAAAAAAAAAAAGTCAGGATGCATAAGTTAAAGCATATAAAGGAGAGAGCTTTCTCAAATACATGCCTGATGATGACTCAGTAAGTTTACACTGAATAAGCATTATCTGGAAGAAGCCTTCCAACACAGCTCTTAAAAGCAATGTAATATTGCTCAGACAAAGGAGGTCAAGGTCCCAGATTAAAGTAATGTGAAGGGTTAGTTCTGGAACATCTCCAAGAACCAAGAAATTCAGAATGGAAAGATGCATCTGCAGTTCCTGCCTCTGTATGTCCAGGGCTTCCACTAGCTCTACTGTTGCACTGAGATCAACGTACAGCATACCCCAAAAGGAGGCCAGCTAGTCGGCCCCCAGGCTTTTGCAGGTTCTAGGTCAGTAGTAACCCTCAGTGTTACTACTTTGACAGCATACATCGATTGCAATAGAAGTATCTGCAAGTAATGGAAGCCGATCCATATTTAATTACAAATTTCTACATACAAGTGTAGCTGTACAAACGATCCAACTGTTTGGTTCTTAGAAAGGTAAGTAAATGAAGCTCAGGAATTCCCTAGGTTTTGCTACTACAAGTAGCCAGTTTATGATGGACAAGTCTATAGTCATTGGTCAAAATAAATGGGAGATGGCATTTATCCATATCACCAGCAGGTGACCCGTCCCTCCTGAGGCAGATGGTGGCAGCCTGCTGTGTCCGATTCACTAATACAGCACATTTCCATCACTCTGATCACAAACCTTCCCTTTGTGCTGCTCATTTTCATTACCCAAGATTCTGTACTGCCACTTATGGCAGTTCCCTGCAGCTGGGGAACGAACTGTTCAAGCAAACTACCCACGAGTAATTGTGCTTCTTCGAAACAAGCAATCTATTCCAGAGGGCCAGAAGGTCAGACAGAAGGCACTATACCACTGGACAGCTCCTTGCAAATCGCAGGAGCAGGTTAGCTGCTGTGTACTGCAATCAGTGCTGCCCACCCACAAGGATATCTATTTGTCTTCTTTGCCCTTAGTTTTTCTGTAGACCATTTCCCGGAAGCTCGCCAGGATCTTGTTCTCTCGCTTCCGCCTCTCCTCCTGGTTGAAAGATGCCAGCGCTCTCTTTTCATCTGCACTGTAGATCTGGTTCTCTTTACGCAGACGCACAGCCTCCATTCGCCGATGCCTGAGAACAAGAACATTGCATCTCTCATCTGTCACAGAACATTTCCCTACCGCCTGGTGCAAAGCCAACATGTCAACCTGTACTAAGCTGTCAGGAAGCCCCATGCTGACCCTCCCTCAAAGTCTAAACATCAGACATACAGTGATGCAACCTGCTCATTTTCAAGCGTAAGAAAATCAAGGGACGGAGGGTTGCAAAGTATTTTCCCCTCTGGAAAAAAAACCACACTTATCACTGACTTCTTTTGGTCACCAGAGATGAGTAACTAGATTTGCAGTGAGACAGAGTTTAACTTTTATCCTCGCACAGTGCTCACAAGCTGCAATGTTTCTTTTTCTTTCAACTGGTTTGGGAGAAGTTCCCTCTTAGTTTAGAATCCCATTCCCCACCCATTGCATGGCAAAAAAAAAGGCACAAGGCCTTGGTTTCCTCAAGCCACAGGCAACCTCACACATTGAGAAACCTACCTGCTACCGCTCATTACATAGCCAGAACTCTCAAATGATGCAATTTCTTCACTGGTCAAGCCAATTTCACCTCTTCGGGGGATGCGTTTTCCAGCCTTTACGTATTCTGCCATAGCTGCACCCTCACCAGGCAGCAAAGCATGGCCGTAGCTTAAAGAGAGGAAAATAATTTCATCAGTGCCAACTCAGAGAGCACAAAAAAAGACTACTAAAGAATCAGTGCCCTCTCCTCTACACACCATGACCAGTCCTCTCATTACTTTCCCAATATTTCTTGGTTGCTGGTTTGTTTCTACATTATAGCAATTTCCCCTAATAAGAGCTACTTGCTCACCAAATCTGATGTTGAGCCTGTCTGTACAGAAGGGGATAGAAAGCTAAGTAATAGCAGCAATGGGGAACGCGCTTTAATAGTAAGCCAGGATGGAGTCACCACATTTCAGGGACTAGGAGAAAAAAAAAAGATACTGGTACATAGTTACTTTGTTGCAAAATTTAACATTTGTTACTTGTGTTGCAACAGAAGGGCAGAGTGTTCTTGCTGATTTTGAAATAAAAGTATCAGCCCAGCTTTGAAATTAAAGTCTCTGTAAAAGTATTCCTTTGCCTCAGAGCAGCATTTACCATCTTGTAACAGTATATGACAGCTCAGTAACAACTAAAACAAGCACAGGAAGACATTTTTTAGTATAGTGAAGCCAGGTAAGAGGTGGAAAGGCAACTTTTGTGCTAATTTAGTTGACATGATCTATTTGTGTAAGCTGCACATGATTGCTTACTTCAAAGGCCTGTCATCTTGTGAGGCATGCGATTTTGGAGCTTCTGGCCCAATCAAACTGTCAGCTTCTGTATTTTCTGCAATACACAAACAATGAGGAGGATTACTATTGGAACTCTTCATTTTTATGAAAATACAGGACAAAAAAATCATGTCGGTTAGTGTCAATAATATATACAGTGTCAATATATAGTGTCTCTATATGAGCCACGTTACTGAAAAGAATACCCAGGAGTTTTGAACTGAAGAAACCTACTTGATCTCTCAATCCAGAGATCTTCCCCTTGAAGCGCTTCATCCTCCGAATCTTCACTGCTGGAATCACTAGATTCTTTACGACTTCTCTTCTTCTTCTTCTTCTTTGACTTTTTCCTATTACAAAGTTAGAGATGCTTAGTTGGTTAAAGCACTTTTCTGGTACACAGGAGACACTGGGTTCATATCCCAGTAGGGCCTGCTTTTATAACTGGGCTCAAAGTGTAGAAATCAATGGCTCAAGGTCTAGTTGGCAGCCGGTATCAAATGGAGTGCCCCAGGGGTTGGTTGGTCTTGGGGCTGGTTTTGTTTAATATTTTCATTCATGACCTGGAAGACGGGATACACCCTCAGCAAGTTTGCAGACACTACGCCTGGGGAAGTAGTAGATATGCTGGAGGGTAGGGCTAGGATTCAGAGAGACCTCAACAAATTGCAGAATTGGACCAAAAGAAATCTCATGAGGATCAATAAAAAGAAGCAAACAGTCCTGCACTCAGGGGAGAACTATCCCGTGCACCAGTACTGGCTGGGGGCTGACTGGCTAAGCAGCAGCTCTGCAGAAAATAACCTGGGGGTTACAGTGGACATTAAGGTGGATATGGGCCAACAGTGTGCCCTTGTTGCCAAGAAGGCTAATGACATACTGGGCTGCGTTAGTAGGATTGTTGCCAGCAGATCATGGGAAGTGATTATTTCCCTCTATTTGGCACTGATGAGGCCACACTTGGAGTACCGTGTCCAGTTTTGGGGGCCCCCCCATTATAGAAAGGATGTGGACAAATTGGAGAGAGTCCAGTGGAGGGCAAAAAAAATGGTGGGGGGGCTAGGGGACATGACTTCTGAAGAGAGGCTGAAGAAACTGGGCTTATTTAGCCTGGAGAAGGGAAGCCTGAGGGGATTTAATAGCAGCCTTCAACTACCTGAAGGGGAGGGGGCTTGAAAGATCATGGACTGTTCTTAGTGGTGGCAGATAACAGAACAACGAGCAACAGTCTCAAGTTGCAGCAAGGGGAGTTGAGGTTAGATATCAGAAAAAACATTCCCATTAGGAGGGTAGTAAAGCACCGGAACAGGCTACCCAGAGAAGTTACTGAATCTCCATTCTTGGAGGTTTTTAAAAGCCAACTAGAAAAAGCCTTGGCTGGGATGATCTACTTGGGGATGGTCCTGCTTTGAGCAGGGGGTTGCACTAGATGACCCGAGGTCCCTTCCATGCCTAATTTTCTATGATTCTATGCTCCTTAACAGGCCTACTGGCTAGAAGGGCTAGAAGAAAAGGGCTAGAAGACCAGATTGAAGCAATCAGTGTTTTGTTTTGTTTCTTTAACACCACAGCCAAGAGAATAAATCTGAATTCCCTCTTTTTTGTTATTTAACTGTTAAATAAGCCACAGAACACCCTGATCCAACATGTGATATCACAAGTAACATAACCCCGTCTTTGGGAGGCAGCTCTTCCAAGTCTGGATTAGGGTCTTTTGCTAACTAAGATTCAGCATGTTTAAAGCTGAAACATGCACTTAGGCTGCTATTAATAAGAGAAACAGAGGTGGAAGCTTTGGTGCTGCCCCCTAAAGGAATCAAAACTGCAGCACTTTCAATGCAACATGGTAGAGGTGTCCCTTACTTTCTGTGCTTCTTTTTCTTCTTGGTTTTCTTTTTATCTTCATCTAAAAAAAGAAATCAGAAGATCATAAAGTACTGTATTAATATAATGTGGTCTGAGTCTTGGAAGAAAAAAATTCCCCTTTACAAAGCTCAGTTAAGAGACTACAAGGTACACAGCACTGAGCAAATCCCCAAAGTGGCCAAGCACAGGATGAAAACAGAACTGCTCCCTGGATTCCCTCAGTGCACTGCACACCTCAAAAGCACTTGGAGACCAGCACTAGGCACTAAAATAGGGAGTCCCCTCCCTGGCCATTTACTGCAGTCACCTGACTGAAATAATTAGAGATGCACCAATATATTGGTCCATATTGCATTAGCATCGATAAAAGGAAAATTGACATTATTGGCAATCAGCTTTTTTTGGCCCGTTTAGCCGATAACGTCACAGATAAATGCTGCATGCGTGTGGATAGTCTCAGCGTGCACACAGCCAGCAATGCAGCCCCGCAGCTTGCAGAGCAGCATCTGGCTGGTAAGTTTGTGGGTTGTGGAGGGAAGAGGCGTGGGGGAGGGGAGAACAGATTGAGGCCCCCATCATGAGGGAGAGAGTGGGGTCGCAGCAGGCATGGCCCAGCTGGGGTGGAAGGTGGTATGGGAAGGAGCCACAGGAGGTTCACCTGAGGGGTGGCTCCCTGCTGCTGCATACACCTCCAAGGGAGGCATGGGGACTCGTGCTCCTGGATTTGTGCTTAGGGTGAGGGCGGACTGCCTGCTGCATGCTGGGGCCAGGGGCTGCACCAGCCTCTTCCTGATGTGGGGTTGGGTCAAGACTGGGCACAGGTAGGGTGGGTGGTAGTGGTGCTGGGAGGGGGGGCTACAGAGTAGGCTACAGCCACCCGAAAATCACTGCAGCCACCCTCCCAGCACCACCCCAGGCGCAGCCCCAGTCCAAGCCCTCTGCCGGGAAGAGCCTGACCCCAAGTCTGCAGCAGGCAGCTCACCCTCACCCCATGCACAAATCTGGGGAGCACATACCTCCCCCAGGGGTGTGCACAGTAGCAAGAACCACCCACTCTCCCCCCACCCCGCGCCCCCTGGCCTGTGGCTTTGCCCTGTCCTTGCTGGGCAGCACCTGCCCCTGACCCGGCCCCATTCCCTCCCTCACCGTGGCAATCTCAATCTGGCCCCTCCACGTCCTTTCCCCCCCCCAGACACCTTCCACTCCCAGAGACTTACCAGCCAGACACTGCTCTCCAAGTTGCTGGGCTGCGTATTGGCTATCGGATCGGTATCGGCCAATAGGGCTGGTTAATAATCAGCCATTGGTATTGACCAAAAAAATCTTTATCGGTGCACCCCTAGAAATAATGCTTAAGAAGGTACATGCAATGTCACACAGTCTGCTCCAGTTCCTACCACACTTGACCTGAAAACTAATGGCCTACATTACAGCCAGGATATCATTCCCTGATGGCTGAACCTCATGCATTGAAGCTGGAGCTATGATGCTTCTGTGCTAGAAGACTGCTGTAATAAGATGAAAGACTCTATATTACAGGTGTATTAAGGAAAGATCCGAGTGATCGCTTAGTGCAAAAACAGGCTTTTCCACATGTAAGAGGTGGTAAGGAAATCAGAAAAGGAAGAGGGACAAGGAAAATGTTACACTTGATTCTTAAACAGAACACGAAAAAGTTAAAGTTGAAAGCAGACATTGACACAATTACAACAATATCCTACAGGTGTTATGGCTATTCTTCACAATGCAGATTAAGCAACTGAAACAAAACCTCTGGACATCAGGAAGATACCAAACAAAAAGCAGGAGCATTACTGACCATGACCGCAAACATACAGGAGAAGGTTTCAGATGATGCACACCAAGAGAAGCTGTGTTCTTACCACTGGAGTTCAGCTCAGAGTCAGACCCGCTGTCACTGTCCTCAGAATGCTTTTTGCGTTTCCTTTTTGATGATTTTTTCTTCTTTTTCTTTTTCTTCTTCTTTTTCTCTTCTGAAAGAGTGTGTTACAAACCAGATGAGCAGTCTAGCTTCATAAATCCTTCTGGATCTTGGTATCATGCTTGCTTCCGAATTCTACAAGAAGTCAATGAACTTCTCGGCAAATAACATCATCGGGCACTAGCCTGAGATGTTCTATTAATATGTAAATTATTTTGATAGTAAAAATTAAATACCTTCTGAACTGGAATCTGAAGAGCTGCTTTTAGATTTTGCCTCCTCATCTTCCACTGGAGTATGCTCATCAGAACTGAAGAGAAACAAAGAGTTTAACTAATTATGATTTTAAGCAAAGATCGCCAATTATCCAAAAGCACGCACATGAACAACTGTGTGCATATTCAGAAACTGAGTCAGTCATGAATTAAACCATTAAGCAGCCAATTTAAAATATACAAGTCACTTTCAGAAAAACGCTACTAAAGAATCTTAATTTGACTGACAACATATCAGAGTCTTCTGCAAGGGGTGTTTTGGGATTATATGAAATATCATGAACTGATCATATCAGTCTAGTGATCTGTTGATGCGTGTAACGGGACTTCCTTAAAAAAGCAAAACAAACAAAAAACCAAAATGAGTAGAATTAGGGCAACTAAATACTTAATTTTTTTTAACTGACATATTAAGTAAAGTTTTATTCTGGCCTGACATAAGATACATAATAGAAATTATAAATATACTGAAGTAATGAAATTATTAATACCTTTATTTGGGGACACTACTACAGACAAGGGTCCCAGAAAGAATGGGGGGAAGGGGGGGGCAACCACAAAACAATGTTACTTACTCTGGGTCAGGAACCTTTGGTGAAAGCCCCCAGATTTCAGGTGCTCCCAGTTCTCCAATTCTCTCTCTCTCATTTAGTCTCCTGTGAAGATCCCCATCAGCATTAAATTCCCACATACTATTCTTCCCAACCGTACATTCAAAAGAGGAGTTGTTTGTATCTCTGCATGCTAGCATTTTTAATCTCCCAGGCCAGACACAATGAGGGGACACCCTTTCTTCAGCGGAAACACTTCACGTTTTTTTCTTCCATGGCCAAACACTACGCGTCTCAAGCTAAGAACAGGACTCAACTGAATTTTGTTTTGCTCAGTCCCCAAAGGGGTCGGTCTGTCTGAAGTACAAAAACAGGCTGCTCTGTCTTGAAAACCAAGGCAGACCTAAAAGAAGGCACCTGCCCGTTTTTTTGTGCAGCTTAATAAAACAAATATTTTGGTCACATTACAACAGTTCCATTCAGGAATCTGGTGCAATCTTCCAAATGGGTCATTTCAGACATGCTATTTATTACAATGCAAAACAAATCCAGTCCAAAACAAATCGCAGAAGTGGCTTTACCAGGCGCACAGGTACTCAAGAAGGCTTTGTGGCTGCCCGCCTTGTGAAGACCAGGAGTGCAGCCCCAGCGAGGACAAGCCCTGCCCCAGGAAGCTCTACTTGGAGCTGAGTTTGGGCTGCACGTTTGTGCGCTCCTCACCTCTGCAGGCTCCTCTCTAGCACACGCTGCTCAAGGAAACCATTCCCTTGCCCCCCCGACACTTGCTTTTCTTGGGGTGACATCCCTGGAGCGCTCCTGCGTGCAGCCTCCCTCCCCAGGGGCCTCTCTTTTTAAGGGGGAAAGGGGGAGCCGGGAGCCCCGGGAGGGGACGGGGCCCGCACTCGCCTCTGCCGCAGCAGCTCCTCCTTCTCTTTCTCGTAGTCCTCGGGCCACAGCTTCCCGCCGTGGTGGTGGCCGTGGTGAGCCGAGGCCGGAGGCCGGGAACGGCTACGGCTGTGGCTGCGGCTGCGGCCCTGTCGGCGCCCCGGGGCCTTGGA